AACAGTGGCTACCTGTTGTCTCTTGTTTTCTACAAAATGTCTTGTAATGTCTCTTGTTTTCTACAAAATAGTTGTCCATATTTCACACACAATAAGCTAATACAAAACAAAATAGTATAAAAGCAATCAAAAGAATGAGAGGCCTATGAGTCTTCAAAAATAGACAATGGGAAATCAATAATGCTACCATGAGTCTTGTTTTCTTCAGAATAGCTGTCCATACCTTCACATACATTGAAAGCAAATAACTGAAAACAGACTAAAGTCAATCAGAACCAAGAATAAAAGCATTATTAGACTTCAAAACAAAATGATAGTAAATCAGCAATGGCTGCTATGATGTCTCGTTTTCTTCAGTGTGGCTGTTCATATCATCACACATACTACAATTAATTCTTATAAACTTTTTAGGTGCAATTCTAGGCATACATAAGCCTGTACAAGTACATCTATCCTTTCTGTATTAGAGGGAAAAACAAAACAAAACAAAGTGTAAGAAAAATAAGAAAGAGTCAAAAAAATAACTATAACAAAGAGCCCCAAACAACAACAATGTAGGCTTTCAAAACAAGGTGGTAGAAACATAACTCATTTTGTTGTTTTGCATAGTTATCTTCAAAGGCTTACTTGAATTACCAGATACAGTCATGCAAAATTGATCTAATCCTATAGATATTAACTGTTTTGTTCCAAGAACTGACAGAATTAGTAGTATAATCACCTTAGTAACCTTAAGTATGTATATTCAAATTTGTATCTTTTTTTCTTTTCTCTTTTTTTTCCTTCTCTCTAGAGTTATTTTTCCTTTTTAAACAATTTCTTACCCTTTCACAACATTTATTGAAGATTTTGTATCTTCTTTACTCTCTCAGTTTCTTACACTAGGTATATAATACAGTATTTACACACGTGAGTTTGATTTATTTCACTTATGAGTACAGTCTCAAGTTGCATCCATTTACCAATAAAAGCCTCAATGTGATCATTCTTTATAGCTGAGTAGTACTCCATTGTATAAAAATACCACATCTTTTTTACCCATTCCTCAGTTGATGGGCATTTAGGTTGTTTCCAAGATCTGGCTATGACAAATTGTGGTGCTATAAACATGGTTGCACATATATCACTGTGGTATGATGTATTCTGCTCTTCTGAGCATATGCCCAGAAGTGGAATAGCTAGGTCAAATGGGACCTCCAATTCCAGCTTTTTGAGGAACCTCCAGATTGATATACATAGTGGTTGCACCAGTCTATGCTCCTACCAACAGCTTTCAATCAGCTTTTTAATTTCCTGGATATCTCTCTGAATCTGTTTCATGTATTGTAATGCCTTCGTATATTGTTCATTCAAAGTTTCCATTGTTTTCCTATGCTCCTCCTTTTTTATCTAGGTCTTCTTTAGATGTGCTCAGCAATTCTTTCATAATGCTTGAAATTTCTTCTTCTACCTGAGATATTATTTCTCATTTGATTACTTTTACACTCTCATGAAGTTATTTCTTCAGCTGCTATCTTCTCAGAGACTTCAAGTGTATAACTTCCATTTTCTTCATGACTGTATCTTCCAGGTTTGTTCTGTGTGGGCTGGAAATCTGAGACTGCATTTTGCTCCTTCATCTTAACATTTTTCTAGGTTCCTCTCAACAAGTTGGTTGAGGGGCCCCAGGCAGTTCCCACATTGGCTGTCCCTCTGGGTGTAAGAGAATTGGCCAGGAATCTGGTTTTCTCTGACCCCAGGTTTACAAAGAGGTAGCAGGGCATGGGATGGGCTTCTCTAGTCCTGTGCAGCTGTGCTGGGGCTTCTCCAGTGGCCAGAGGTGCGCAGTGGTATGGCAGTTTCTCTCAGCCTGCAGGTCTACATCAGACTCCCCCAATGGTGGCAGGCACACACACAGGGATATGTTTGTCTGATTCTCCCAGTGGACACTGGCTGCCTGAAGGAAACAAGGGTCTCCTATGGTGGCCTCTGGGTCCACAGGGCTTGCCTGGCTGTGTGTCCCTGCACATGCTGGCTGCCCACAGGAAGCAAGCCTTCTGATGGCCTGTCATACTTCTTAAGATATTTTTATAGTTATCTTTTATTAGTGTGGAATTTTTCTAGCTAACTAGGCAGTTTTTAAAGTTTGAAGTCCATCAAGTGATTTATTTGTATTTTCAAAATGGTCTTTTATCTTAATAATGTAGCAAATAATCCTGATCACTTTTTAATGTTATTGCATCCTTAAATTAATGCTATAAGCAGAACTTGGTTATGATAGATTATCTACTTAAACTCTCTGAGTTCAGTCTGCTAATATTTGGCTTAGGATTTTTCATTCTGTTTAAGGGTGAAAATGAACATTTGTCAGTTATATCCCGGTTGGGTTCTGGTACCAAAGGCATGGTAGCCTCATAAAACAAGGCAATGTAGTTCCCCCTCTGAGTAGGACTGATAATATTAACTAGTGAAATCATAGTAACTAGGAGGTCAAAAAGTAGTTGGAGATCCCAAAGCTTCCCAAGAAAGCCGTATAGTGAAATATTGAGCTGGTCTCCAAAACTTTAGTATCCTGGAGATTATATGTATACATTGTGTGTGTGTGTGTGTGTGTGTGTGTGTGTTTCAAATTGGCCATGTAGGTTACATATCTGTTATGTTTACTTAGTTATTATGAGCCCACTTCTGAGAAATGGCCTTTATGTGTGCCTATTAAATATTTTTTCCCAAGATTGCAAGGTGGAAGACTACACTTTTCCATGTAATAGATGTCATACACTCTTTAAATCTTCACCCATCAGATTCCTGGTCAAGATAAACATGCTCTGACTGAAGCATCATCTGACTGATGTTTAACTCTGTCTTTTTCCTTTTAATTTTACTAATAAATTAGCAGAGATATTTCTCCTTATAAATTTTTAGGTATTTTTTAAAAGCATGTTGAATATATTTCTGTATGCATTTATGTATAATTAATATCTACATATAAATATAAATTTATATGTCTAATTTATCAGGCATACTTCATAAATTCACTAACAAATACTAAACAACTTCTACATATATAATAAAATGCCATAAGTTTCCTTATATACTATGAGAGAAAAAAATTAAGCTTTAACTTATGTGACACTGATTTTTTGTTAGACAAAAATATTTATTTCCCTGCTCATTTCCATGTGGAAGAACTACTACTAGTGCAAACTTTCAGCTTCTTATCAGAGCTGAGTTCTCTGATTTGTGGGTTGTAAGAGAAGGAAACAAAATGCCTGGCTCTTTCTCTCTTTCTGGGTCAAACCTTCTGCAGAGAGGATGAATTGTCATTACCTTCCTGCCATCATTAGGGGAATCAGCTCTGCCTGGGAGTGGACACATTTAATTCAGAATTCAAATTTAGAAAACTCTTCACACTAACACCTGTACTATCGCCAGTGTAACTTTTATCAGTAAAACAGCTGTATTGTGGGCCTGCCTGATTCTGCATTTCTCTTTCAAAGAGTTCTGAACCTGAGCAAGAATTAAGGTGCTATTTATTGACACTCCAATGCTTATACTCACTATACTAAAGTCACCCTGAGTACTCACAGAAGTCCAGAACTCTAATATTTCAAGGTCAGGAATATCTCTTCTGACCATCAGAGTCTGAACTATCTCTCTTAAACACCAGGAGGAAAGACAATAAAGAGGCCTGAACCAACTGTGAACTCCTTTCTCCAGAGTAACCAGGAAGACTCATCCTGTTTGCTTACCCACAAGAGTCACATCCATCAACACAACTGTGTTATGAAATCTTCAACTGTAAGCATGACATTAAAGAGTCTGAATGAATTACTTGCTAAGCTAGGATTTAACATTTTCTTAATCATGCTCCCAGAGTATACCATGTATGGACTGTAATGTCTAAAAACTCTACCATTCTTTGGAATTACATGAAACTATTAATGATATTAGTCACTTGTTCAATAATTTGCTTCAGTCTAATCAATAGGCTATGTAACTGACATGTACACATTCAAATATTAATGGTTAACTTTACCTCTACCAATGTTGTGATCAGTCAGTTACTAATTACAGAAGAGTTAAAACAGGTTAAAGGTTCTAAAAAGGCACATTAACAAAATCTAAGACAAAAATTTACATTCTCTCTCATGATACTTCTGAAGAAAATTAATCTGACCCATTTTGCTATTGTGGGTCACTTCTATAGGAAATGACTTTACTATCTTCCTTGGGATTTTTTTAATAAACAGATTGTTAACTATTTCAAAAACAATCCAAGCTTTACTGGTTCCATTTTCCTTACTGCTTATGCATTATTAGTTAACTTTTTACTATCATCTAGTTTTTCAAAGTCATGGTCTACTTTCTTCTATTTTGAGTAGTACAATTTATACATGATACAAAAAGACACTTATTCATCTTTGTTGCTAACAGGAACTAGGATTGTTTTGAAAAATTGAAAATGTACTTATTTACTCTGCATTATTTTTGCAGTACAAAAATAGTACTGTTTTTCCGACTTTTGAAAAACTACCTATTAGGTAATATTAATAAAATTCAATTTTGAAATAGAACTTGACAAAAATTCACCTCTTCCACATTGGTTTGGTGACGAAGGTAGCAGAGACATACTGCACAATAAAATTAAAGCAAAGGCATCTTCCCGACTGTAGGAGGCTCAAGGATAAATGTTGAAATATCCCTATTGGGGAACAAAAGCTAAATTTATTACCACAGTTTTGGATGTTCTCACTAAATTCTTCAAAGTGTAAGTATATAAATCAAATAAGCTCATTTCCATGTATATTACTTTTGTCACCTTCAGGTTTGTGTTTGTTATCCTCATTTAGTTTCTGAAAAGTAAAGACTGTGTTAACTGAAAACAGTTTGTAGATCACAGCATGTATATATTTCAGGCTTTAGATTTTCCTTAGCTTTATAAGCAACAAGCTCGATTTCAGATTGTGCTGTGGCATTACTTTATATCAAGCTCATGAAGGCTCGAGGATGTAAACAAGTACCTGGAGTTCCCCCAGTCAGGACCAGGGCCGGAGAGGGATCCTTTGGAGTCTGCTGCATATTTGTAAACCACTAGCAGGCACTGTTTACACAGCTCCACCAGGCGCTGGCAACACTGGAGCTGCAAAGGAGTCACCACCTCCGGGCTTTTACTGAACATACTCTCCCACGAGGATCTGTTGGCATGGAAACAGACAGGACTTCATGTTCGCTGTTAGAAATGGTAACCGGCTGTATCACTTACCTACCAATCAACTGATAAAGAAAGATGGAAATGGTCTCACATATCTGTAGTCACTGTGGATGACTGAAAATTTATAATACATGCAGATTACTTTACCTCAACAAATAATGTACCGCCATTTGATTCGTGACCTCTCTGCACTAGGCGAATATTAGGTCAACCCCTTGGTTATGGTCGTCCTTTTCAAAACACTCTCAGATGTAACCGTGTCCATGATATTTCTAGAGCACTAGTCCTGTGCTCTAGAAGCCATGTTCTCTCAGTAAGTTCTGACTGCAATCCTGAAGTTAGTGTCCTTCCTTCCTAAATGTCCTTAGTTATTTCAGAAAAGGCAGTGGTACCCACTTCTCCCATAAAAATAAACCTTAATTGTATATATGTGTCTGCGTGCGTATGTTAACAATTCCTAGGTTCACTGCTATGGCTGAAATAAGGAAGCACCTCATTGTCCCAGAACGTGGGGAGAAAAAAAGGGGGAATACGGAAGGGGGAGAGGAAAAAACAGAGAGACAGATGCATAGGATAGACAGACAGAGGGACAGACAGTGACAGAGGAAGACAGTGAACGAGTGAGTGAGAAACAGAGTAAGAATGAACATGAATGAGAGAATGTGATTTATTCCTTAGTGTAAATCAAACTCTTTTTAAGCTTTAAAGGCAAGTAGTCTCAGATTTGGCTCAAGTCTCACTTTACATAAACCAATTCATGTAATCCTCAGAGAAAATTGCAGATTTTTAGAAAGAAAAAACATTAAGGAAAATATTTTCCTGGAGAAAAATGCTTCCAATAGGAAATTCAAAGGCTCCACTTTCAAACTATGTGCATATTTGAATTTTATAAAATGCTTTAGACACTCAGAAGGTATTTTTACTAGAAACACTACTGTTTACTTTCTCAGGAGAAACACAATCCCCAAAAGACAGCGTGTCATCAGTGAATGACAGGTTTTCTGAAGGAGTAAGATTCAAATGAGTTCATTCAAAGAAACAAACTGCCTTCTGTCTATTTAGTTCTATTTAGAACTAAATACAATATTTTATTTTTTTAAAAAAAGGGGCAAAATTATTTTCACTCAGTAACAATGTTAGTTAAATTAACTCAAAATATAAATTATCACTAAACATAAAGTAACTAGATATTGTATGTTTCCCTTGTATAGATTTAAAATCAACTTAAAGTATTTTGACAAAAAACAATGAAAGGGTAGGATTATAATTAATACCATAATTAAGAAGGCCCTAAATGCCTGAGTTCAAGATATAACCATTTTATACAAATGTAAATAATACACATAAAAACTCTTGTGATTTGAGTGTCTGTCTCACACTTTTCTTTTTTCCCCACAGGAATTCTGAGTGTCTAAAAGTCTCCCTCTATCACCACCCTCTACTTTCAGTGGCACTGAATTTATTTTTTATACTTTGGAGCTACTGATTAGATCTACTATTGGCTCACATAAATTATGACAATTTTCTTAACTTGGGGTTTAGAGATAGGAAAAGAATAAAGTAGAAAATGATAAACAGGCTTTAGAAATATTATCGTTTGATGTAACTTAATATCCCCGTTTGTGAGTTATAAGACAAACAGCTTTGGCTACTCATTCTCTCAATCTTTTTTAAATATTTAAAATGAATATATGAATGAAGATCCTATAAATATTTATTTCTTGTATATTCATTCACCCATGGCAATAAAACTACATTCTACTCTATTAATCCACATCAAGAGTCCCAATACCAGACCCCTCGTGAAGCACAGCAGGTGATGAGTCCTGCTGCTTCTGGGCTAATGGAGCCCCCTCTGCATGAGGAAAACTTGTACTAAGGACATCAGCACCATGTCCACAGTAACTAACCACCACCTGGAATAGGTAAGTTGAGGAAAACATCTTGGAAATATGTACTACAGTATCTCAGTGTCAATATTCACAACACAGTGTTTTTTTAAAAGGTGAAAGAAGGTACAAACAGTTAAAAAGTGAAATTAGGTAGACCAATGATTTTACCAATGAACCTCAGAATGCAGAAGGCACACACTTTCAGGATATTTGAAAAAAAATTTTTTTTTCTGGAACAGAGTTCACACAGTACTAAGAGAGAAGACTGAAGAAATAAAAAATAATCAGCACATGAGACAGCTTATATCTACAGGCAGGAAATTTAGACTGTGATGATAAAAAAAGGAAATTCCCAGATTTTAGGAAATGACTCTAACAATAAGATACAAAGGAGAGGAAGAAGCACCTAAAAACCTTTTCATTTTATTTAGCCTTTCTCTTGCCTGAAATTCTATCATGCTTTTTCTGTGCCTCTTTAAAATGATTACTTTTGTAACCACATTTTGTGCACTGAAAACATCAGAGTGTATTAAAGTCAAAAGCACGAACTCTGGGACCAAGGTTAACTGTGTTTAAACCCCAGGCCAAGGGCCTTAGCACCTACCTGCGTGCAGGATTCCTTATCTGTAAGAAGGAGATGGTATACTACCTGTCTCAAAGAGATGTTAAGGATTAAATCACTTAACACATGTGAACAATGCCTGGCACACAGTAAATAGTATATTCAACTTGTATCACTGCTAAGCTCTGCAGAGGGCAGCAACTGTATCAGATTCAACTTCACATGTCCAAAAACATCTAACACAGTAGTAAGCATTTGATAATTGTTTAAAATAATGAATGAAAAACAATTTATAGTGCCACAGAAGGAATGTGATTCCAAAACTAAAAGGACCTAATAAATAACTGAGTAAAGATGGTACAAGAAGGGAAATGCAAATGCCTCAGAAATATTCCAAGATTGCAGCATTAGAAGAATACCACAAGGATTAAGGGAAGACAGGAAGAGAAGCCATTTCTGAATTAAAGGACATCAGAATGTTTAGTTTTAGGTATTACGAGGACAAAATGACAATGTTTCAGCTGCTTTAACAGCACTGAAACTTTGGAAAGGAAGTAAAGCATAGCCATAATTTTAAAAATCTGTTACAGCCAAATAACTTGAAAGGTAACTGATTTATAATTAAATTTTTTCATTAATTAAGAATAGCTTCTCTCCACTGAATTCAAATTAGTTACAAGGTGTTGTGCTCATATTAATCATCTTATCTAAATCAGCTTAATTGATATAAATTAGAGTTGAGTAGTAAAAATGCATATTTTAAAACATCATTAAATTCAACTATTATACTGGGTTATCTACACAACTAAACAGTAAAATATTAAAAATGTCAACAACCAAAGATGACTTAGAACTTACCCTGAATCACAGAAACAATTCCATAGTCCTTGGCCATGACTCCAGAGTAAGCGATTAAAAACTCGGTTGAAAATCCGATATAAGTTTATTTCTTCAACATCAGGAACCTTCCAGATACGTGGAAGAACTGAACGAATACTTATTTTTACTATGTCCAAAACCTAGCAGAAAAACCAGAGTACTTAAAATCTAGGTATAGATGTGGGTATACAAGGTCCAAAGGTGAACACACGCACACAAACACATACACACCAACACTGAACAGCACAGAGTGAAATATCTGGAAATAGAGCCATGTACTTATGAAGCTTTGGTATATGACCAAGTTGGCAAGTCACACCATGGAGGAACAAAGTGTTCAAAACCAGAGATTTTAAAAAATAATATTTATGAAAAAATGGAAGTTAAATCCTTATTTCATTCAAAAAATTCTATTAGAACAAATGCCTACATGTTAAAATAATAAACCATTAAGTTTTTTATAAATGAGTAGCTTTTAGACCGTGGGTTGGAAAAAGACTACTAAAATCACAAAAAGTACAGACCATAAAAGATTAATAGACCTTGATTATGTTAAAATTACGAGTTTCTGTTCATTAAATAGACCCTAAAGAAAATACAACACCATCTTACAAGCAAGAAAAAACTCAAAACACATATACTCAAAACATATACAACCAACCAACGATGAGTATCAAGAATACACAGAGAATTCCTAGATTATTATTAATATAAACATCTTGGGGAAAACAGGCAAAAAATTATAAAGGGATTTCACACAGGAAGAAGTAAATGTGCCCAAAAATGAAGAAAAATTAAGGCTATCTATTAAGATATTTCACATTCACCTAAATGACAAAAATTCAAGGTATTATACCAAGCATTGGAGAGGATATGGATCTACAAGGTCTGTTATAATTATGATTTTGTCATCATACTGTTGTGATTACAAAATGGTACATTCACTGTGGAAAACCATTTGTTATTATCTCCTGAATTTGAAAATTCATATACCATATATCCCAGCAACTTTATCCCTGAGAATCTCTCCACGGTAACAACAGGAAGCATGTACATTATTGTTCACAAAGCTGTTCACAATTTTTAGCACCTAGAAACAACTTAATTAGAAGAAGAATTATAAACAGTGGCATACTCGCTTCCTTGGATTATACCTTAGTCAGAATGAATAAACAATACATAACAAAGAGACTCTTGGTAATTCATAGTAAGCTAAAAATACATGTAAGAAATTACATACAGTCTGATGCTCTTTAACAAAAGTAAAACATCTAAATTATACGAATATTTTGAAGAAAATAGATACATTTGAAAAGTATAAAGAAAGAAATCTAGGGACGTGTTAATGCTGAATTCAAAGAAACAGTTCTCTGAGACAGGGAATAGAAGGAAACCATTAGGTTAGATATATACAGGCTATTATCAAGATCTTAGCTTACAAGTGCTAGCTCACAGGAGGTATAATAACATTTAAAAACACTAAGTAAAAGAAGGGAACACACACAGACCAGTAAGAAGAGACTACCATGAAATGAGAACTAAATTGACCTGGACAACTGAAATCAGTAAAGTCCTGGAAAATGCAAAAAGCTTTATGGTAAAAGCTACTTTATCAACAGCTTGCATTTGATTCATATGCAATACAAGAATTTCCAACAAAACTCTTCAAAAAACTGAATACAAACAAATACAGTATTATATATGAAGAATTGGAAACAGAGGCAAAAAAACTTTCTGTCTCTTTAAAACATCAATGTTAAAGAACTGATACTGGTTATACTCTGGCCAAGGCACATTTAGAATAAACGGTTTGTTTAGAAATCTATCTGATGGAAGATTCCAAAGTGACGTTTTTGTGTGGAAGAACAGAGGCACAGTTTCTCACATGAGCAGCATCGATGCTTCCCTTTCTGCTGCAGCCTCCCTGACTGTGAGGTGGGAGCAGAGACGCAGACCACACAGTAGTAGGCCGGGACCAGTCAGTAAGGAGACAGGGAGCAAGAGCAGACAGCACAATCTGTGCTTGTGAAAACCGTCGCCCTGCAGTAGCTCCTTACTACAGCTAATGAATGCTTAGTTATAAAGAGGAATATTTTTAAACTTTACTATGAATTATTCACAATAATAGTAATAAAATATGTCTATCAGATATTAATTTACACCTTTTGCTTTATACAATTTTCACTTAGGCTGTTAGTTTAATTCTGTATTTTTTAAATTCAGGAAGCAGTACTCATAACTGACATAAGGCAAAAATCAATGCTAGCAATAAATGATAAATTTAGATCACTTCTGCTTTTTTCCTACTTAGGGTCAATATATTAGTGAATACTAACCAATCAAACATCATAATTCAAAAAAGGAAATAAAAAGTTTATGAATTACCATAATATCTCAAGAATAAATATCAATTACATAAAATTAACACTGAAAAGTGCTATTAAAAGTTAACCAGTTTTTACATTATGAGAGGATTATTCAACTTTGAAATGCTAAAGCATTTGAGATGATGGAGCATGCATTCATTTCTTTTCAAATACACTTCATGCAACTCGCCCAAGCCTAAAGTGAGTGAGTAGCTGTATATCGGGACCTGCGCTCTTAGCTACTTCCTAACACTGCCTCACAAGTTATTCTCCCCTGATGCCAATGGCATAAGCCTGGAAGAGAATCCAATTGTCTCTTCTTAGATTTAGGTTCACTTCTAAATCAACTGGTAGTCGGGAAGAGTGATAGATCTCTGTGTGGCTGACTGGACACCCCCTCCTGCCTGGACATGAGATGCAGATTAGTTTGCTACAGTCTAAAAGACTATCCAGACAGAGAGACAAATAATTTCAAGAAGGCAGAAAACAGACAAGACAACAGTCAGACTAGAATGAGGTAAATTAATGTCACTTCTATTTATGATGGTTTTTTAGATTCCTCAGGCTTTAGACTTAGAAAAACTTGTGTGGAAGATGAATAATTTGTGAATTGTGTTTACCGGTGGGCTCAAGTGAGGCTAATTTATAAAATGCAGGTATTCACATCCTTATATAATGACTTTTAAAAGCATCCCAATTCAACCTTAACTCTCCATGGGACAAATAAATAGCTTAGTTAGTCAATGATAACATTAATAAAATGAAAAAAAATTGTCTTTTCTGTATGAAATACAGCATATTGAATGGCATAAACCACACGTACAAATTCATATTTTGCAAGAACACACAGATGTTGAATGACAAACTGCTCCATATGGCTGAACAGTTGGTCCTAAATTAAAATAATGGCATGAGGTGACATGGTTTAGAAATAACATTAAAATTACTACATGCTGTACTAACGATGTATGCAGCAGCCATGGCTATAGCGTAAAGGCATCTCTGCCCATGCAAAACCAACAGCTCCAAACAGCATCTATGTCAGCCCAAATGAAAAGAGATGGGATGTGCTAATATCAAAATGCAGGCAGAAGCAACAAGAGTAGGTAGTAAAAAGAAATTACTATGTAGACCGAAACAGTTGGTAAACAAGAATATCTTAGAACCTACAATAAATACAAATATAGTTCAACCTTCATATCACTACTGATTTCATCTTCCAGTTTTGATTTGTGCCTAGGTATCACATTAGAGATAAGCTTTTCAGCAAACCTGGCATTCTTCACAGCTCACCAGCACTGCAGTATTTTCATACTCCATATGTATTCCTCACAGACTATTTAAAGCAACCACATTCTTGGCAGAGAGCTAAATCATACAAGTGTGGATTTACCACAACATGACGTTAAATAAGATTAACTATTTCCATTTTCACCTGGTGAAGACTCTTTCAGGATTAATTTCTATACCCTTGATCTCTATATTTTATGCCCATTAGAGAAAATGTGAAGTAAGGCAAATAATATTCTTTTATTTCCAAGAACACAAAAAAGGAAAACATGTGGGAGACTTTGTGTGTGCGGCATTCTAATCTGGAAGTTTTACAACATTCTAATGCACAAGCAGCAAAAGCCTCCAACCTGGAAACAGAAAAAAATGAGATACACATTTCAAAAGTGGTCTTTAAGTGGAAGTAAGGTGCACACTCCATACTTAGAGTAGTGCTTGGGACATGATAATCCCTCAATAAATAGCTGCTGAATGCTTGTTAGAGTAAATAAATAAACGAACTCTCAAAGTCCTCAGAAGTGCCTAGCATAGTTCTTATATAAAACTGGCACAAATAAGGGTTTGTCAAATTAAACTAAATTACACACAGCTTTTGTGGCAGCCATGGAGATATGTCACTAAAATCAGTCTACTTAAAAAAAAAAAAAAGTACAGTTAGCTGATGCTTTCAAGATACACTGTAACATCCAAGTTATACTTATGCTCTCTCCAGACAGCTCAGGGCCAAGAACTGAGCATGGCTGGGATACTGGTAGAGGGCTATTTCCTCCCAGGCCAACTTTGTTCTGGACTCCCCGGCAGCCTGATCAAGGTAAGGCTTCAGTATAACTGAAGCATGAGGCTCTTCCTACCCACCCTCTTCCATTGGCAGGTGTCATATCTGCATTGCAGTTCAAAGGCTCTTCCTGCTTACCCCACCTCTGTGTCTTGTTTTCGTATATAAATATTTTCCTAGCTCCTAACTCCACTTTAGTGTCTGCTTTCCAAAGGGAGGAGAACAAAATGGTTGAAGGAAAAAACAAAAAAAAGGAATACAGTAATCACGACCACAGCAAGGAAAACTGCTACAAATAAGTTACACATGTGGAAACCCACTCATAGTTTATGTTTAGCTTTCCTCTGTCACTTTCAGGCTTTCTTCATAACATGAACTTGCTCTAAGTAAGATAGGGTCCTTTTTATCCTTTGAGAACCAAAATGCAAGATATGAGTTTTTCGGCCAAAAACCAGAATTGTTACATTAATTTACCTATGTAGACGAATAATGGCATTATGGCTTGTAGCTAGATGTCCCCCCAAAGCCTCATGTGCTCATGGAGGTGCTTTTCCAAACTAGCTGAATCTAGAGCATGGAACACTAGGATTAGGGGTGTAGTTACTAGGATTACTCCATTGACTGGAATTAGCACAGTTCAGGGTATGGATAACAGAAGACCTACCCTGGATGTGCCTGGCACCAATCAACAGGCTTGCACCCTGGATGG